ATAATAATCAACTAATATATAAAAACAAAATTCGTGTTTATTTTACTGTAGAAAACGGAGAAGATGGTTTGGAACAGAGAAGAGATTGTATTCTCTGTAATTGTTCTTATTTCAAAATACTACATAGGTTAGGCCTTTCATAGGCAGATTTACAATATGTATACAACTCTAACAATTAAATTACAATAAAACTCTAATTTATGTGACTAAAATTTACACTAACCAACTCCAACCGGCATGGTTTATTGTCATAACAATTTATATAATGTGCCAAGTGCCAGTTAGTGGTTTTATGTAGGTCAACATTCTATGTTAAACTACAGTTAAGTCCATGAGAAACATATATTAGAGTACTCATTTACAAAATTAGTTTACAATTCAAGTGCAAGTTTCCATTCATTCACTCAGTACATAAGGTGGATATATCTGATCAAATTAAACTAATATATGAATTTGCATACGGATTTTCACTGCAGAAGAGAAACAACTTCTAATTCTATCACCAAATTGCTGAGACAAATCCCAGCGTTCAGAAATATTTGTCAACTATTTCCATTACATGAATTGCTGAGATCAAGATAACAGAAACACAGTTGTTTTAGCAATACAAAGTTGACTCATATAAGCACTAAAAAGAATGGCATGGTAAAAAATTACAAAGGTTGATAGGAAGCCACATAAATTATATATACCTTTGGGTTTGATTCTGTCTTGATAACTGAAGCTTGAAATAGGTCTAGAGGATTAGTGGCATTCCAATCTTGATAAGATGCTGGAAAATCTACACTAGATTTCGCCAATAAGAGAAAAAGGAAAAACATCACCATAAGGAAATCAAAATAATAAGTTAGACAAGATAAGGCTGCAATAGGTAAACATAAAATGTAACAGTTCCCTAATATCTTCTACAAGCCATAATGTCATGATGTAAATTGCAATATAGCTTATACTAAAGTTCATTGCCTTGTATTTGAATATATTCTTAACTGAATCAAGAGAGTCAAACTTTACTATAATGTCTTTCCCTGAATCAAAATAATCTCATCGGGAGAAAGGCATCAGCATTCTAGGCGCCTAAATATACAAATCTTGGAAGCAGATAGCATGAACCAATAGAAAACAATCACACTTTCTTTGTTTCCAATGCGTAAGGGAGAATAAGGACCTGAACACGTGCCCAATAACTGAAGTTACTTTATAATGGACATGAATGCCAAGAAACTTTCCATTGAACTCGTGGACTTCTGTACTACCTCTCCTTGTCGACATCTGGCATATGTACTACAACTTGTAAGTAACTAGCAAGTATTCGATAAGGAAAACTGAAGTGAAAATGATATAACAAAGAGAAAGGAAAAGAAAAATGATTCAGCATTGTGCCCGACATGTCACAGAACTGTGCAATACTTAAAGAAAATGTTATTTTAAACCAAATCCAACACCAACAAAGGGGTATGAAATTTTCCAAACAGATTACTGTTTTCAATAAAGAAGCCGTGAGGAATGTGGCTTAAGAAACAAAAACTAAAAAGAGAATCAAACAAACAGACAAACCAAGCATTAATCGAATTGCTACAATTCAAATCAAGCCAATGAAAACATTATCTTAAAGGGCTTGCTTTCTTGAACTAATTAATTTTTCATAAATACTGAACCTTTTTTCCCTATAAAATTCCTTTTCTTTACGAGTGTCTGCTCTGACATTAAAGCCAATGGTCAATTACATCCTAAAGATGAAATATAATTAAGATTTAAGATCTAAAAATTCAAAATTTTCAACGCTCAAGTTCGGGAAACCAATAAAACTACAAGCGAATCTCACAAAAAATACGGGAGACTTCAAGCATACTTGGCCATGAGAGAGTACGGAAGCAATGGAGTGAGCGATGCTAGGCTTCTCCGCCACCTGCAAAAAACAGTGAGAACAATCGACTTATACATTAGACATGAAGAAAATTATTTTACACTTAATTTTATGCGTTTCGCAGCAAAAGGAAATTGAAATTTTTGAAAAGCTTTGTCAGATTGATTACCATGAGAACTTCTGGAGGCGAAGACATATTTGAATAAAACCTGCCTTCTCAATTTCCGCTTCTACTTTCCTTGTTGAGCTTTCCACCGTCAACTTCTTACTGTAAATAATACGCCTCGGATGAAATACGACCTAGTTTTAAGTTTACTAAAAAAAAGATAAATTACACGCCTACTCACTAAACTCTACTCTCTACTATTTTATTTACCATACTTTTAATTTTTTTAATTTGATCATTGAACTTTAGATATTAAAGTTTTTTTACCACTCATTTGATGACATTGATTATTTTATTATTTTTTCATATGACATGTCTTATTTTTATTAATATTTTAATATTATTTAGGATTATAATTAAAAATGAATTTAAAAATATTAAAATATACACTCAAAACCTAAAACCCCAATTCAAATTTCAGTGGTGAGTGGGTTAGTGCCCCCGACGGCTACGGTGGCCATCACGGTGGTCTGAGATGACCTTTTTTGGTGTTTAATCATTGATTAAGTCCAGGTAATCTCTATTTCCCCTTTAATGTTGAATCATTGATTTATGTGTTGGAATTTTTATTGTGCTTGGGGTTTGGTTTTAAACTAATCAACAAAGGGTTAATTCCATGGTTGTATTGATTAGTTCGGTTGAGGGTTGTGGGAGATGAACAAGAGAGTGAGGGGCAAAGGTGAGCTTGATCGTTCGCTGGTGGGAGGGTGATCACTGGTGGAAATATGAACTTGCCAAGGATGATGGTGGGTGGGGTTGTAATTTGGGGATTAGGGTTTGGGATATAATTTGAGCATTTAGATATAATTTAAGGGTATGATTGTAATTTTAAAATTTATTTTAATTTTAATCTTTTATATTAAAAATATTAATAAAATATAACATGTCATATGAGAGAAAAAAAAATAAAATAATCCACATCATCTTAGAGTGAGCAAAAAATTCAATGTCTAAAGTTTAGTGAGTAAATTAAAAAAATTGAAAGTACAATAAATAAAGATAGAAAAAATAATAAAATTTAGTGAATAAACATGTAATTTACCCAAAAAATCTAGTTTTCAGTTTAAATACTCCCTAGTCCCTCCCACGCATAGCAAACGCATATATATTAAAATATTTTATTTAAGGGTATACTTAAAGTTTCATATCTTTCAAAATTAAACTTAATGTTTTTTTTTAGTATTCCACTTTGAAAACTTAAAGAAATTGTCATTTTTATAGATAAATTATATCATTCATCACTCAACTATTTTTTACTCCTATTATGGTCATTGAATTTTATTTTTTAATTTAATATTTAACTCTCAAATTACTATTATTTTAATCACTCTAACTTATTTTATTAATATTTTTCATGACATGGTATATTTTAATAATTTTTTTTATTAATATATGTTTAAAATTTAAAAAAGAAGAAGAAAGGGACGAGTTGGAGAGGCCGATAAGAGAGGTTGAGAGGGTAGGGTAAGTGGTTTGTGATTTAGGGTTTGTGATATAATTTAAATTTAATTTTTTATTTTAATTATAATAAAATAATAATAAAAATGTTATGTCACAAAAAAAATTAATAAAATAAATTAGAGTGATTAAAACGAGAGTAATGTAAAAGTTAAGTAGTTAAATTGAAATTCTTTAAACTTTAGTAACTTAAATAGGAGTGAGAATATAGTTGAGTGATGAATAATATAATTTATCCATAAAAAATGCTATATACAACAATGTCGTTAAGTTTTTCACGGTGAGGTGCTAAAATAAAAAAAAAATAAACATTAGGTGTGATTTAAAAAATTAAAGTTTAGATATTGAAACGAAATAAAAATGAGAGTTTAATTACTACATATGTAGGTTACCCTTTATTTAAAGGAAAGGTATATTAATCATTATTAAAATATATGAAAATATTTTTTAAATAATAAAATTATAAAATAATCATTTTTAAAATAAAGATAATTTTTATAAGTTTAAGAATTGTTTTATAATAATTTTATAAATTTAATACTTGTTTTATAATAACTTAATAAAATTTAATTATTATTTTATAATTATTTAAAAATAATTTTCATTTTATAACTGCCAACATTTCAATAATAACAAAAAATATTTTTATAATTAATTAAATATGATATATTAATAGTATTATAGTTTAAAACTAAAGATTTAAATAATTAGTTATTATTATAAATTTGAAGTTTTACATAACTAATAAAAATAGATAAAAAGTCTATTTGGAGCAGGGTGCTATATATGTAAGGATAGGTATTTGACTTAAATTCAACGTGCTTCAATTTAATTTTATAAAATTAAATATTTTTCTTTAAATTTAGTTTTAAATCAAATTAAATCGGGTCAGATTTTTTTAAATATAATATTATATACTATCGGATTTAAACTTAGGGTAAATTATATGTTTAGTACTTAAGCTATCAATTTTGATCCGTTTTAGTACCTAAACTTTTGATTTTTTTTAAATCATACCTCAAGTTTAGCTTTTGTTTCATTTTAGTGTCATGTTCAAAATTTTACGTTAAATTTTGAAAAAGAAATAAAATTTTAGGTACTAAAACGGACCAAAACTGATAATTTAAGTACTAAACGCGTTAAGTTGTTAACGACGGGTACTAAAATGAAACAAAAATTAAACGTTAAGTAAATTTTAAAAAAATGAAAATTTAAATACTAAAAATACTAAAATTAATAATTTAGATATTAAATATTTAATTTACCCTTAAATTTATGATAAAAATATCTATCTCAAAGCGGGATAATAATATAATTAATTTTTATATATTTAAAGATAATTACTATAACATATCTTTATCCATATTTTCAATTAGGTCTTTATCTTAATTAATAAAATAAAAAAATATATATGTCAAATCGTGTAATGATTTTACTTTAAAATTTGTTCAAAGTTTTGAGTTAAATGAAATTTTCTTAAATCTAAATCTTAAATGAAAAATTTAACCTCACTTCATCCATGAGCATCCTATATATGTACTCGTTATTTATCATAATCTCTTGCTCCATTCCGATCTGTTTTCGATCTTAGGTGTCAGAATTGAGATGGAGAGAAAGTCATCGTCTTGTAGGCGCAGGCGAAATTCCATCGGTTGCATGCCTGCCATTTTCAGCTTCTTCACCAAAAACCATAAGCGCTCGAAATTTATCACCCGTGGTTCGTTCGATGGCTTCTCACTATTTTTGTACTATAAATTTCCCTCCACTGCAATTACTCTTGATTAGATTTTAGTCGATCAATGTTCACTACATTATTCCGATCCGATCATGATTTTCAGGGAAAGAGCGGCGAAAGGAGGCGGCCGACGGCGAAGAGAGGCCAAAAGATGCAAAGCTTGTAATTAGGAGTCCAACGCTTCCAGTAGAGATGCGGCGATCGTTGTCGGTTGAGGTGGGGAACCATCGCCATGCATTAGTGGCGAGGTTGATGGGAGTAGATAAATTTCCTCCGCCATTGGAATCCAGTTCCGTTGCCGATGAGAGAGTGAGTTTGCAGCAGGTAAGACCAGCGGAGAAGTGCGACGAGGACTTGAAGGCGCTTCAAAGGATTATTGAAGTTGTGAAGACGAGCATCGGTGTTGGATTTGGGGAATGCAATGAGCTTAGTAAGTCTTCTCCTACTTGACTGAATATCTAATTTATTAACATCATATTTGTTATACCTTCAAAAAAAAAATCAAAAAAAATTATTCGTCTGAAGTCTTCTCAAATAACTACTCTCTACTTTTCTTCTCATTCACTGTATCTTCCATTTATGTTTTCATCTTTTTTCACGAAAAAAATATCTACCGACGGCTGTTACTTCGTCGGATGTGATTTTTCGTTAGATTAGAAAGAATAAATTATCAACATCCGACAAGATTAAATTGTTCCTATCAATTATTTTCATGATAATGTTTTTAAATTCTTTTTAGATGATGAATAATTACAATAAAAACTTTATTCCAAAGCTAAAAAGCTTAAAACGTTGATGGTGGTTGCATTCCATTGAAGAGGAAACACTTTGCCTTTTGCTTTAGTTGAAAAAATAGGATTCCAAGTTCATAATAAATCATCATTATAAGCAGTGTAGCAGTGGGAGACAAAAGTAATATCTTTGTTGCTATGTGCAATCATAGCCGGGGATAACAACGGGTTGGATTGGGTCGGATTTGGATTAATTCGATTTGATCTGAAAAATTATATCTTTCATTCAACTTCGATCCGTTCCAACCCGATAAGAATTTAATTAAAAATAATAATAAATAAATGGTATATTATAGTAACTATCCATAAATTTATTTAGAGAAATCATATTATTACCTCGGATTGAGTTGAATCACAGTTTTTTACCTTCCATCCAATCCCGACTCGATCTGACCCTATAGGATTGGATAGACTTCATAGCATGCCCCAATTCTTTTACTACATTTTTTTATTAAACTAATGTGATTACAAAGTGATATTTGTTCTAAATACTCTTAATTATTTGACAATAAATGTTAATCATTCTCTTTAAGATTAACAATCACTCTTCAATAATCCCTTTTACTACCTTTTTAATTGCCCCCTTCCCTTAAATACAATATCAAAGATTTTATACTTTAATTCTATGCATATAAATGTATTGGCATGCACGTATAAAATTCAACGGTATTTTTTTGAATGGAAAATTTTATCAGTACTAATTAGATTATATAATTTAATTATATATTTTAAAAATAAAAAATATGTTAAACTAATTAGAAAATTATAAAAAATAGAAAAAATATTTTAAGAGATCTAAAAAATAGGGAAAAATAACCAAAGATCCCAAAAACTATTTCTCACTCTTTCTTCAATCTAAAAATTTTGAAAAATACAATCCCTTCCTGTTCGTCACTAAAGGCCCCCAATCCACAGTTCATCTTACAGTCGACACATATAATTAGAAAAACCGGCAACCCTTTTATCAACTTTCTTAGCATCCAAACAGTCACTTTTGTTTAAAAATAGCAAACACTCCTAGCTTCTTTGGCAATGGGCACAATTTATAGACATAATCTAGATAGGGTTAGTTGAGGATTAATTGTAACTTGTATGAATCCATCCATCAAATGGTTCTAGTATAAAAGAGAATGTTATTCTCCTACTTTGAGAAGTCATAATCGATAAGATTCCTCATGATAAATTTTTTTATTGTAATCGATTTTTATCATTTTTAGTCTTATATTAATAAGTTGTATATTAGAATTTTCGACCAAGACACCTTACTTAACAGCTTAATTCAGAAAAGAGACAGTACCATGGTCAAAAATGGTATCTCTTTCATGGATAAGACTTTATTTCGGAAAATTAACTCATTTCTTGCTTTTGTGAATTGTGACTGTTCATTCTCACCATTTACAGCCTCCATGATAGATGAGAACGAAGCAACATATTGTTGTTTTCCGTCCTTTGAACCGGATTAACTTTGAACTCCCACATCTACTCT